AAACTTCTATAATGTTTATTTTAGTAAGTTACAGGGGTGAAAGAAAAGAGAATTAGGTGTTTTTTAAATTTAAATATCTCATCCTAAAGAAACATTTTGTTTATTCTAAGAGACTTTCGGCCCTCGGTAATAATGTAATCTTTCATTCTGCGTTTAAATTTTTTAAAAATATTTATTAGTTTTGTCAGGATTAAAAAAATGAATGCATTTAAAATGCATTGGCACGAAATTTTGCGCCTACGCTCTTAAAACAGCCTATGATTCCATTAATTCCCACAGTACTGTATACACATTTATTTTAATAAAAAAAGAAGAAAAAAATTGGAAAATTCCCAGAATTTAACTTTGCTTTAACGTCGCAAGTAGATAAAATTAGCGAAAACTTTTCGAATCATTTTAGACCGTTGTGGTCTTATCGCGCTACCACATCTCGACTTGTTAGCCATCAAGTAAATGTCGCAAGATTAAGATAAAATTTCCTTTATCTCAAATAACACAAAACACACGTTGGGATCGCCCCTGCATTCACACAAAGTAAACAACTTTATAAAACTAAATTGTTTGTTTTAGAGGCGTGCAGCTCCCATTTTGGCCACAACCAGGTCATTTTCAAGAGTTTAGAGACCCATTATTTCAGAAGGATACGACGTAGGTACAAGGGTAAAGGAGTATACCCAAATATGTAGGCTTGTTAAAGTATTATATGAATGAATTTCGTCGTAAAGGTCAGTAACACTGTGGATGATTCTATTCGAGAATTCTCCAAGAATTCAGAATTCTTGGAGATTATTGCAATTCCCACGCCACTGTTTTGTCGTTTATTGTGTTTTAAATCTCTTCTCTCACAGAGTCTCTAATATTTCTGTATCGTGATGTCTTTGGTGTTGTTTTTCCTTCGTCTTTTGGGGATTTGTAGATTCAAAAAGGTCGATTGGCTTCGTGGACTTTTTTTACACTATGATGACCTGCAATATTCTTCGGAGTATTTAATGCTAATCCATTACCTATCGTTCTTCTTATTTTTCCATACCAGAAGAACTATTTAGTACACTAAGAAAAGTAATGAGAAAGTCGTTCAAAACAGTAGTAAGGTTATAGTTACACTGAGAAACAAAGAAATTATTAAAACTAATAAAAAATTATATTAGTACGTTAAAAACCGATAAAAAGCAATTGAATTTGAGAGTTAATTTGAAAACAGAGATGAAAATCAGTCGATTTCTATTACTTTTTATCAATTTTTTAAGGTATTAAAATATGTATATGTATATACAAAAATATGTATAATAGTTTTATTCTTTTTTATTATTAAACAACACTTCTCAATACGTTAACTTCAGTTTTTATAGGTTGACAGATAAACTATTTAGAACATGACGGACTGTCACAGAAATTTGGATTGCGAAAAAGCCCTTCGTTTTGCTTCTTGTTGGGTGGTGGATTCTGTGTATACATAAACAAATTCTATGCAGTTTATTACAGACTGACAAAGACAAGTCCTGTACAACTTTTCAGTCTACAGCTCAAAATGTTCAATATCAAAAAGATTTGTGGGTACCATTTTTTTGAATAAACACTTACTGCTGCGCAATATCATAGTGAGAGAAGCCACCATCAGAGTGAAATTCCTAGAGTAGGACACGAAAATATCAAAGAAAGAAATCCAACCCACAGCAAAGAACACCGAGACAATGCATCGTCGAGTCAGGATTATTCGTTAGACCACGGCCTCACCTAGAGCATACTACGCTCTAGACGGGGTCACTGGTCGTTATCTGCTCCATTACTACCGCAAATTTTAGACTCTGTAGATAGTCTTCACTCTTCAACAAGTTGCTTCATTTTAACGATGGCGCCTACCTTATTATAGATACAAATAAGAAATTACCAGTCGATAATTTTATAGATCCACTAATGCTGCGACGACAAAGCTGTGATTTGGTTTGATTTGTTTAGTAATGTATTTCTTAAATCCACACAATCAATGAAAAATGATTCATGCTGTTTAAAAATAACTTTCTGTTAACGTCACTGTCATCGACAAAGTAGATCAAATTCAAACGTCATCATATTTCTCTTCTGTTTATCGCTAAAAATTAATTGATGGTCGTGTGTTGTATTGGTGTTATTTAATAATTTAACAAAATACATAATCAGCAAAAATAATATTTAAAAAATGCGAACGGTTTTTGCAATCACAATCAATGCAGTGTTTATGCTTGTTTTCAATTGTTTCGTCTGTTGTACAACCCTCGTCCTTTTTAGGGCGTAGTAGTTGTATATAAGTACCTATTTTTTTATAGTAGTGTAGTGAAGTAAAATGAGTAATTTGGAAGAAAATAAAATACAGTCGAAACGCAGAGTGTTAGAAGTTATTTGAATTTAGAAAAAAATAATATGGGTCCATTGACATCTGTTATGGCAGTTCAGAAACGCACATACGATGCTTGCGGTATCTCAGAGAGGACATTCCGAAGAATTAATAACATGAGTGAGGATGAAATAAATAAAGTAAGCAAGAGAAATCGTCGACATCCAAAAACTTTAGATATGCACCAGTCAATTAAACTTGCAATTAAAAATATTATATATAATATCTATAAAGCCAAAGAACATGTAACAATTAGTGCTGTGTTACAAAAAATAACAGACAAGGAACTGTGTGATATTAGTTTAACAAGTTTGTGGAAAGTGCTGAAACATTTAGGTTTTTGATATAAAAATACAAATAATAGACAAGCATTGTGTGAACTTTCTAATGTTGTTTCAAAACGGGGCATTTTTTAAGAAAATACATAAACAATAAAATGTCTGATAATCCGAGACAAGTTGATTTTTAGGTGAAACTTGAATTTTAGCTAAAGGAAATATGACAAAATCATCCTGGCAAGATGGCACCACGAAATGTAATTCTTCTAGTCGTTCCAGTAATGGTAAACACTACATTATACTTCATGCTGGAAATGATGAGGGTTTTATTCCTGACGCTAGGTTAATTGTTTCGTCCACAAAGAATACAGGTCATTACCATGAAAATATGGATGGAAATATTTTTTAAAAAAGGTTTGAAGAATATTTGTTAAAAAAATTGGAGCGACCATCCATAATAGTGTTGGATAATGCATCCTACCGCTCAAGAGCAGAAGAGAGATTTCCTTCAAGCAGCTGGACAAAAGAAGAAATAAAGTTGTGATTGACAGAAAAGAAAATTTATCACAGTGACATATTTTTAGAAGTCGATTTACTTCAAAGGTGTGGAGAACACAAAATTCAAAAGAAATTTGTTACTGACCAAATGGCTCTTAAATATGGCCATGAATTTCTTCGATTTCTGCTCTACCATTGCCACTATAATGCAATTAACTTAGTTTCGGATATAGCCACAAATTTTTATAATGAACATGCATTCAAAACAACAGATGACGCTAGTTTATTGAGAGAATAGAAATGTAGAGAAGGCAGAATAATGGCAAAATTGTATTAGGCATACGGAAGACATAATCCTTCAGTCTTTTCAAACCGAGCGAGTTATAAATGAGGTCCAGCCTCTAATAATTAGGATAGACAATTCAGATAGTGACCACTGTGATAATGAAATATCAGATAGTGAATAGGACAGATCGTTTGCTAAAAAGAAGTAACAAAAAAGTGTTTTGGGAATTCAATTCGGACTTTGTGGTGTGTTTTAGTCAAAGGATAAAGTACCTTCGGTCAATTATTGGACTGTATACTTTGGTATAATAGCTTTGGAATTAATTACTGGACTACACGTGTTTAAACCTTTTGTTTTGATGAAAACTCGGAGGTGATTTAGTGCCAATTTGTTTCAAGGTTATATTTAATACAGTGTCTGCAGAAAGTAAAGTCTTGGACGTATTTTATTCAAATTTGGATATACCAGCAAATTAGCAAGTATTTTCCAATTTTACTGCATGCAAAACCATTCGTATAGTTTTCACTTCACGCAAAATAGAGGCTTCTTGATGAACATTTGATGTCGACAAATAATTTCGAGTATTTGAAATATTCCGTCCCACTTGGTTTAACACGCCCTGTATATACATATTATATTCATTTTATTTGCCTTTGATACACTAAAATCCAATATTATTACTGAACATAAAATACAGGAAATTAAATATTTTTACCTTTCAAGCGATAAGAATGAAATATTAACGCCCCGCTGTTTGAGGTCCACTGATCATATTTTATTTGCATATCGGCCGTCATAGGGTAAAAGGACTTAAGCTGTAATTCTGCACCAAAATTTTAAAGCAAAACCATCATTTTACATACTATTTATTCAATAACGTCAAATCTTATAATATAATCCGTGATCGGAGTAGTAGCCAGTTTCTGTCACTTGCTGTTGCGTGGAGTAAATCTCCGACTTATTTTGTATGCTTTAAATTATGACGCATGGCTAAAGAACCATGGACTCAACTGTATTTGCACATTTATGTGATACCGTAGAGAAGAAAATATAGAGTTCATAAAGAACAAATTTACACGTATTAGATACAGGATCCATAAGTTTGTTAGAAGAATCGAGAAAGAATTGAAAGACGTAAGATTCATATGTAAATAGCAGGACAGATTGAGAAAGAAGAGGAAGAGATAAAATTCGCATGTAAATGGTGGAAAGAAGGGAAATGCATAAAAAATTATACTGATAAAATCGTAATATAAAGAATATGTCAAAACATATCTGATATAGAACGTCAAAAAATGTAAAGATTGGGAAAATGGAACAAGAATCGCATTCCTGTATATTACAGGCAAATAACGATCAAATAGAATAACAATGTTGATTACAATAAATGATAAAAATCAAGTAATCGAATTAAAAAGACCACATTCTTGTAGAATCAAAAATGTTTTTTTTACAAATACAATGGTTTGATTACAAAATTTGACTTTAATTATAAATGTCAATAGTGATAATGACTTATTTTTAGTTACCAAGTTCCCCCTCTTTTCGATTTTTGCGCAACTCTGGCTCAGTGCCTGTGGATGTTTAAATTTACAACAACGTCATTAAAAGTTGTCATAGACTTACCGAGATCAGGAATAGAGCTAGTGGGCTCCTCCAGCTTGATGTCGATCACCTTGATCTTGGGAGGCGGGGGTGGCGGTGGCGGCCGCATATGTCCAATTACTGGCGGCGACGATGACGAAGTAGAAGATGAAACGATCGCACCAGAAGGAATCCCGAACTCTTTGGGTTCAGTTTTAAACACTATCGTTGCCGTTTGCATATTGCACTAATCCCAGTAAAAAATCACTACTATCAGTTAAGTACGAACGGCATGCCAAAGGGCCAGTTGTTAATCACGCGCGCTTTTGGTTCCAAATTCGGAATGAAAGTGAAACCGAAATGCAGTTTGAGTATTAAAAGTGACGGAGAAGGAAAAAGGGGTTGCGCAAGCGCTCTGCATCCACACAGCCCCACGTCTGGCACATGCACCGAGGGGGTGAGTTTTGAATTTTCCGAATTGTCTCGTCGTCGGCGAAAGCGGGAGAAACGAGCGAGACTGTACTGTACTGTGTATGTAAGCGTCGGACGATCGTCAACTGTTTAACGCTGGTTTGGTTTAGAGAGGAGCGCGATCGGACGGGGCGCGCGCTTGGCCTTGTCCTTGAAATAGGATTCTGAACCCAGAGAACTCTCCTTATCGATTTTGGGGTCGCGTCAACTTATACACACACAAACTACGCCTCGCGAGCGTTTCTTTATTATGCGTGGTTGTGCGTGTGTTTTGTTGATGAGATCTGGTTTTTTTTCGATACATATTTCACCAGCGGCCGGAGGACGTCTTCTCTCCGCCAAGAAGTAGCGCGGTGCACTCTCGGCAGCGGCAGCCACAGCCTTGCTCTCACTTTTACTTCACTTGCACTTGGACGAATGATACTCCACATTAAGATCATTGTCATGGGCGTAACGACGCTCAGTATATTCGGCAAAAATGTTGATGTTTTTATTATTATTATTATTAAGGCTTATCCTCGAAAATTCTAACGGTAAATTTCAGTTTTGCTATCTCTATTTCAAAAATTTCTTTCTTTACGAAAACAAAATCTGTTCATGAAGTAATATTCTAAACTTCGTTTAGATCTCTTTCAAGCCCAGGTCAAAAATGCGTTTAACCCTAAACCCCTGCAGTGACAGGTTTTGACTTACAATAAGACCATAAATCTCTTTAGTGGTATTTTGAGTAAATATAATAACAGATCTAAGTAATATAATCTATTCATAAATTTACAATGTAACAAATGTACATACATAATTTATTTGTTATTTTTTTTACGGAAAAATTGGCTGTCTGAAGTTTAACGTAGATTGTTTACGGAAAATAAATATTATAAAAAAAAGATTATTATTATATATCATAAAAATTTGATTAGTATCACGATCATTAAAATTGATAAAATGAAACGATATAAATATAGAATTATGTCTAATGTTTCTTCAGAAGGTGTTTCAAATAAAAATTATAATAATGTAAATGTAAATGTAAATGTTATAATAATATATGTAAATATACTCCTAGATCTAGAGAAAATGGGAGTGCGACAATGGGAATTACTGGCACAGGAACGACAAACATGGAAGGCAATAGTAACCGCGGCAAAGACTTACGAAGAGTTGTAGCGCCATTGATGATGATGATGATGATGATGAAATATACTGTATAACTATTTATATGGATGTGAAATATGGATCATGAAGAATAATATGATGGACATTTTGACATTTTAGGATGTACGTTGAAAAATTAAGGCAAATATCGAGCACAAATTTAATAATCAAATCTTGCCCAAGTACTTTCGCTTTCTACAGCATCATCAGGGGAATCTGAAATAAGACAAGAAAAGTTTTTTTAAATGAAGAAAATTAATAAACTTCGATAAAAAACTTGAAGTTAATGGATGATAAAAGTTTTTTGTGATTAACATTTTAGACTTACTTCGTCAAATTTGGTCTATCCAGCAAGCGCAGATGCCCCTGATGATGCCGTAGAAAGCGAAAGTACTTGGGCAAGATTTGATTATTAAATTTGTGCTCGAAATTTGCCTTCATTTTTTAAAGTTCATTTATTCGAGCATTCAACCTTATATCAATAATTTAGGATGTGACTCAGGTATATGATAAAGTATGGCAAAGACGCCATAACTATAAACTAAGACTACATTTACCAAAACGATACTCTCAAATAATTGACTCCTCCATCTTGGAAAGATATTTCAGAATTAAACAGGAAGAAACATACATGGAATTGACAGATATTACAGCAGGGCTGCCACAAAGAAGTGTCTTTACCTTTTGTAGACGTGTTATATTATTGTCCTAGAAAATATACAATTGCAACATTTACCGAAGATATTGCTATCATAGCAATATGCAAAACCAGCGAGGAAGCGACAAAGAAATTACACAGATGTTAATCAAATATATATACTCCAGGGAAATAAGCAAAAAATAGACCATGATACTCAATAATCCAGGTCGCTGACAACTTTTTTAGTTATTGTAGACCTCTAGGAAGAAAACCTACTTTTGCCTTGAATTTGGAGCTGTTTTTTTAATTATTGACAATTTAATGCAAAAAACGCGACTGTTTCTATGATTATTGATACTAGTATTAAAAAAAAATAGATTTTTGGAAGAAAATTGTTTTGCACGAATTGTTTAAACAAACTAGACTATTTATTAATTAATTAATATATAAACAAATTACTAATCCCTAATGTACGTAGAAATTACATACAAATTAAAAATAGATCATACAAAATAAAAAAATAAGAATGATCAAAATCTATTGAGTAGATCCATAGATATAGAAAATTTTATTAGTTTGAAATTGCTTGTTCGGTTTGGATTTGTAGGTTCTTCCTAGTCACCATTTGAACTACATTTTTGAAAATTCGTAGAGGGTCCTGTAAAGGTACAATGTTTGTGCAAATTTTTAACAAAAAATACAAATCCCATTCCTTAACATGGCAAAAAATGAGGTTCCTTAAGTATTATAATCAAATTAGCTGTGAATTATCATCTTTTCTTTGACTTGATCTACTACTTGTTGTAATTGGTCGTAAAACACTTCCCTTGTTGTTTGAGGCTTATTATTTTCTAGGCCGTATACTCGATAATGTTCAGGTTTTCCTTCTCCATTCTTATCTTTGATGTTACTATTCTTTCTGATATATATTGACACTCTTTGATGTAATTTTGATACCTTTGGTGTATTAGTAAGGCTACACCTTTTTTGGCCCTGTTTTCTTTTGCTACTCCACTGTAGATTAGTATGTATTTACCTAATTTTGATTGACCTTTTCCTTTATTTTTTGTTTGTTGTAGAGCACAAATGTCCATTTCTTTCTCTTTCAACACTTGGGTTATTTCTTGCCGTAGTCGTCTTCATAGTATCAATCCGGTTCCGAGACTGTACATTGTTTTTTTGAGCAGTATTTGATTTTACGATTAGTAGGTTGCTAACCAATAAATATAAATAATTAAATTTCATATTCAAATACTGCAAATTTGGTTATTACTCTGAGCTCATGTAAAGAAGAAAAGAAAATAATAATTCTGATTGAAATACAAAAAAATGTACTGGATGATTGACCAAAACTCTACGCTGTTTCTATATCTATAAATAAATTATTATTATATAAGCAAATACTGAAACAATTGTATTATTATAAAAACAGTATAAATATTTAGAAAGAAAATGGAAAATAAACAGAAAATATTTCTATTCATATAAAAATTTAATAAAATTATAGGTACTTACTGCTTATTTATATAACATTTCCTATTATATATTAAATACAATAAACACACTGGTTTGTCAAAAGTCGGAATAAGCCCTAATAATGTTATTCAACTTTATTTATCCTCCTCCGAGGGTTTTACCTACCTGGCGAGAATCCAGAAGCTACCGACAAGGACACCCTGTGCTGACGGAGAGAAAATTGCGTTCAGCAAAAATTTGAAATTTTTTAAAAGTTTATATCAAATAGCTGCTTTGTGTTACACTTTATGTTAAAAATAAAAACAGATTCGGAAAGTGGGTCAAATTCTGTAGTGCCCTATTTCAAAAAAATTTTTTTTTTCGTTTATTTTAACCAAAAAAATTTGAAAAAAAATATTGTTTAAAGAATTTATTAATTTACAACCAAATAGTGCACTAGAACTTTTTTAGACCTTCCATATAAAAAAAGAATCATCTCAATATCTGCCATAGTTTTTGCGTTATTTGATATAAACTTTTACATTGGAATTTACCTATGCCAGAATCGCGAGGATCGGCCTTAAATTTGCAATGTTTTAACCCTCTACTGCATGAATTACTGCAAACATGAAATAAAAAATATTTTTATGTATTATGATTTTTATTAAGGCATATAAAAAGCATTAGTAGGGGAGAGGCTGGTACAGTGGCCACCTTTCGAGTAAACTCAAGATAACTTTAATATAAATGAATTGGTGATTATTGAAAGGAACTAACTCCACACAACTAAAATGTTGGGAAATTAAAAAAAAAACTGTTTATAAACTACACTAGTAATTTTAGCAAAACGACGTTATGGTAGATTGAAAGCAACTATTCTGCAGTACTTTTAACAATAATCCCAGTAGTAGGTTATTTGTTTTTAAACAAGTTTTATTTGAAAAAAATTGCGTTGGAATTAGTTCCTTCTAAAACTAATTGTTTGTATGTAAAAATAAATGAAACAAATTATTAGTTTCAAGTCATATTTATCAATACTAAATTATTACATTGTCATTATTTAAACTAATCGTTTTCTTCCATAGTAGTAGGCCATGTGAGGTAAGCTTCATAAAAGTGCTTAAATTCTTCATTGTCTTCGGGAATATAAACTAATAACTTTCTGACAGCGTCAACTTTATGTTTATTGATTGGCACTTTTCCCTCAGGGTAAGCAATACACAAAGCATCAAATAGGTTTAATGGCCTCGGTCTAATTCCTGGTTGTTTTAAATTAAATGTGTGCTTAAATAAACCCCCTATAAACTCTGACGTCTGCAAGTGACCATTTTGTAAATACTTGAACTCCATGAACGAGGCTGGTGCAAAAGTTAGCTTTTGTTGACGGGGAACGTTTCTGCCATACGATTCCAGAGATAACACCGTTTTTTTGTACAGCGCTGGCCACCATTTAGTAAAGTCCTTGATATCTTCCGTACGAATAACTTTTACTGTTATGCTTGATTTTGCGTTGGCGATTAACT